GTATCTGGCACCTAGTAGGAATTCCATAAATATTTAACGGACAGAAGAATGCTGGCACATGTGCATAGCAGATATCCATAAATATTTATTACAACTAGTTGACTTTATAAGCTACTACAAAATTATAGGGAAATAAAGGATTGAGAGCAAGAATACCTTTGTCCTATGCCTATTAGCTATGAAATCTCAGGGAAGTCATAACCTCTGTGGGTCTCTCATCTCATTGGCAAAATGAGAAGAATGAACTAGACATCTAAGATGTTATGATCCTACAAGCTTTGGAATAAGGTCCTCAATATTCATTCTATTATGTTTTCAAAACCATCTTTAGACTCATAATACGAAGTGCTGGCGAGGCTGTGGAACAACTGGAACGCTCATACATTGCTGGTGGGAGTGTAATATGGTACAGCGACCTTGGAAGACTTATGGCAGTTTCTCATAAAATTGAACATACACTTACCATACAAGTCAGCAATTCCACCTAAGTAATTACCCAGGAGAAATGAAAACATGTCAACACAAAGACTCAAAACCAAATGGGGGTGTGGGGCCGGCCCTTGGGCTTAGCGGTTAAGTGTGTGCGCTCCGCTACTGGCGGCCCGGGTTCGGATCCCGGGCGCGCACCAATGCACCGCTTTTCCGGCCATGCTGAGGCTGCGTCCCACATACAGCAACTAGAAAGATGTGGAACTATGGCATACAACTATCTACTGGGGCTTTGGTGGGGGAAAAAAAAAAAAACTAAATGGGGAAACAACCCAAATGCCCATTGACAGGCAAACAGATAAAATTTGTGGTACATCCACATACAATGGACCATGACTCAGCACTAAAAAGAGACGAATTTACTGATACACACAAAACACGGGTGACTCTCAAAAGCATTATACTAAGGGTAAGAAGCCTGACATAAAACAGTAGTTACCATATGCTTCCATTTATATGAAGTTCAAGAACAGACAAAACTAATTTACGGTGCAAATAATCAGAACAGTGACTATCTCTGACAATGGGCAGGGGTGGCTGAAAAGGAGTGAAAGGAACTTCCTGGGGTAATAGGAATTGCTCTACATATTGATCTGGGCAATGATTACAGAAGTGGATATATTTGTCAAAATTCATCAAACTGAACATTCAGCATCTGGACATTTTACTGTATGTAAATAATGTCTCAATTTTCTTTTAAAGTGTAAGCCATACAAGGTTAATTAAAAAAAAAAACTTGGAAATTTTTACACTTACCTCCTTTTCTTTTGAGCAAGGTTGAGTTCCATAAACTTATACTTCTGGTACTGTTCATCCAGCTTCTTTAGTACTGTATCTGCAGTCTCATTCCCAGGCTGTTTCATGAAGGAATCTACATCTTCCTTTAATATCAAAAATAATACATTACAAATTTTAGAATTCAAACTTCTAATCTTATTTTTGACTGCTTTAGCTTTATCTGTAAAACATAAAAGAAAAAAAGCTTGTTTTTCATTTTCTCCACAGGCTTGTTTTTAACTAAAAAAGTAGTTATAAAAAGTTAGAGGCCATTTTAGACAGTGCACATACATTATGTAGCTAATTTATTCTTCCTTCATCTTCCTCTTTTTATTTTCATTTATATATAGGGAAAGAAAGATGACCTTGCCTGCTTTATGCATCCTCCATGCAGCCCTAGTAATAAATATGAAAATTACCAAGAATCAAACACATTTCCCAGTCCTGTGCTCTAGCCACAAAATGATTCAATAGGTTGTGTGCCAAAATTATGGATTTTATCACTTAAATTTTTAATTCAACAAGTTCTGCCATAGAAATCATGCTAAATATGGTCATTAGGTTCCCAAGGCAAGCCCCAAATGCCTCCTTACATATCAAGTGGTTGAAGTAAAGGAAACTTAAAAGGCAAACAGAACAATCTTTTGTAACAGGAATAATTAAGCACAAGAAAAGCAGTAAAACCGAATAGCATTTTTAAAATGTACACTATATGTTGGTCCTTGAAGAAAAGCTAGTTAATTAGATGAGGATCAAGAACTAGATGAAAATACATGGAAACTTTAAGGAGATTCTATAAGAGCCTTCTAGTACCGTAAAGAACTTTAGTCCTTCATTGTAAGTAAGTTAAATTCAATTATCTTATGGTTTATGGGATCTCTTAGGTCATTATTCTTCTCCACACTTACTAGCTATGAGGGAATATTTTAGCTTAAGCAAAGCAAGGAGAAAAAGGAAGAGAAACACAGCAAGGGAGTGAACTATGAAGCCATCAAGCTAGAGACACAGTAAAAGAAACTGAAAAGGTGAGGCTGAGGCAAGGGCTGAGCTCTGCATGTAAAATGGATATACCATCTTCCTAGAAGGGCCACTGCAGGAAAGAGAAATAAGTCAAAGTTTCTAGTACATGGTACCTGTTATTAGGAGCTTAGAGTCTAACATGGAGAATTAATTATAGCAGCATAGGACTGTGGTTAAGAGACAGGGGCTGCTTGGTTTGAATTCTGGCTTCACCACATACTAGAGGTGTTGACCTTGGGTAAGTGATTTAATCTCTCTTTTCCTCAATTTCCTCATCTGTAAAATCAAAAAAAAGTACCTTTCCTCACAGGGGATTAAATGAGTTAGCATGTGTAAAATGCTTAGAAGAGTGCATGACAGCTAGGAAATGCTCAACAAACATTAGCTATCTCTGTAACACAATGTGCTAAGGGAACAGATGAAAGTACCAAGAATTCCGTCTTGCAGCAGTGGTCAGGAAAAACTACAGGGAAGTCATATCTGAACTAGATATGAAGTTCTAAACATGAAGAGGTCAGTAAATGGACAAGGGGGAAAAAAAGCAAATTACTGCACCACTGGGAATGGGGAAAGGGGAAAGGGTGAGGTCTGACTTCTAACCAGTATGGTATACCACCTCCTATCATCACAGAAACTAATATATATTAAGCATCTACTTGCAATACTGAAAGCACATTCTCCATTTCTCACGGCAACTCTGTAAGTATTGTTATTCCTATTTCAGTTAAAGAAACGGAGGCTCAAAGTGGTAAAATAATATGCTCAAGATTAAGCAGCAATTGGGAAGTAGAGGCAGAATTCAAACCCTGGTCTATTTAGATGCCAATGTTCTTTCTACAATACCATACTATTCCCATTAGTTTGGGAACATAAAAATAATTATGTAAAATTTGGATTGCTTATTATATCATATTGGTAGAAATTTTAAGGTCTAGAAAAAATAACCCATTAACATTTTAAGATAAGACTTTATAAAGCCCTCATAAAGTTTATCCTCCTGAATTAGATTTTTGAAGCCATCTCCAGCTAAGCACCATGAATGTACTATTTAAGGCACTATGGAAATTCAATTTGACATCCAGTTACAAGCTTATACTATGTGTCAGCACTGTGCGAGGACCAGGAGAAATGACACTGAGCAAGGTAACTACCTCACTTTCCTCCCAGTAGCAGAGCACGATGTGTAAGTACAGGCTCCAGAGCCCCATAGGTTGCCCAAGTTCAAATCCTGGATAACTCACTTACACCCTGTGTGACTCCGGGCAAGTTACTCAAGGGTTCTGTGCCTCAGTTTCATCATCTACAAAACGGGAATGACAACAGTATCTACCTCCTGGAGTTTTGTAAAAGCATTAGGAAAGTGCCTGGCACTCAACAAATTTTCTCTCTCGTTACACTTAGTTGGGAGATGAACGTAAAGAAATAAATGGCACAGCTCAGGGAGAAAACGCAAAATAACTACAAAACTGAATCGGAAAATGCAAATATACAATATAGAGTGTATATAAAAGTGGTATAAATAAAAGAATCAATAAAACAAATGGGTCTTTTGAAGGATGTAAGACACGATTAACAAAAAGGTAGAGATAACACAACAAAAGTACAAACCAAAAGGTCGAGAAAATTCCATTAAGATTTTATAGTAACTCAGCCAGAACTGAGTGGGGAAAGACAGATGATACCGGCTTGGAAGGCCAGTCAGGTTTTCTGTCATTATTCAAACAGTTTTCAAATACTATTTCTAGATTAGCCTGATGGAAAGACAGGGTTGAAAGCATCTACTTGCTTCTCTTTGGACTTGGGTTGGTCTCCCTGTTCTGTGAAGCCTCCAAATTGCATTCCCTGCCTCTTGTCTCAACTCGACACGATTCATTCTCTACTAAGTTGTTAGAATGATGTACCTAAAACCAAATATGATTATATCACGGCTTTATTTAGACACCTTCTAACGACATCCCGTTGCCTACTGGATAAACCCTCAATTCCTCAGCAGAACACACAAGGACTTCACATTTTCACCCTATCCCACTTTTCCATCAGTCTCTTATTCCATTCCTCTAAGGCAACAGACCACCGCATTCCTTCAACACACTAGGCGTCATTTCCTGTTTTCACACCTTACCAGCAGTTATTCTGCCTACTCATGGTATCCTAAGTCACCGTTTATCTGTCAGTCTCTCCAGCACTTAAGCTGAGTCTCGAGCTTCTCACCGCTTCCCTTTTTCCAGGCAGCAGGGGACGAAGCCCTGCGTCCGGGAGCGGGAGAGCGGGGGCGGTCTGAGGGACCGCCCCCGCCCCCGGCCCGGCTCCCGCGTCCTCTCGCCCCGCGCCCCCTTCCCTTCTCGGGCCTTCTCGGACCACGGTTCACCCCCGGGCAGAACCCAGCACAGCTCAGTCCGTCCAGGCGTGGAGGGAGAGCGGACGGAGCACTCTCTTCCCAGGTCCTTTAGCTCAACTCCTTTCCCCAACAGTCGAGGCCAGGGTGGGGACCGGCAAGGAAGGGGTAGCCCACGGCCTAGTATCAAGATGCCCAGGACCAGCGTGCTCTTACCACAAACACGGCCTCCGGAATCCCTAGGTGGAGCCGCCGCCCGTTCCCTGCGGGCACTTCACCTAAGCCACAACTGTCCTTAGCGGCCGCCATCTTGGGGAAACAAGCGTGCGACTAACTGCTCCGCCAGCCGCCAGCCGCCGGGGGTCCGTGATTGGCTCGCTCACACCAGCAAGCCCTCCCCTCCCTTGTGAGTCTGCGCGTTCATTGGTGCGCAGGAAGTAGCCGCCCCTTCTCCCTCGGACTCAGCCTGTGGGTGCTGACTGGCTGCGCGCAGGTGAGTGACAGGCGTGGAAGAGCCGCGGAGGAGAAGCTGGTTCCGGGGGAAGGACCAATACAGACTCCTGCGAAAAACGGTCTCGGGGATGTTGTGGGTAGGCAGGGGTGGAGACCCTGGGAATTGGGGACCAAGTCGGACCCCACTCCCACCCCAAAACAGGCAGCACCCTCCAGAATGGCCTTCGAAGTGACTCGATCACCTCTCGAATACAAGCGAACCTGGGACCTAGACGGCACCATGGGGCTTTGGCTTCAGTGCCTTTCTGGTCCCAACATCCCAACGAGCTTCCTGGCTCTTGAAGGGGGCTTGTTTTGTGCCTGTTTCTGGAGTCACTGGCCTGATTCTAATAAATACCCCGCCCATTGCACCAGCCTTTCTTGAAAGCAACCTTTGATCAGAATCTCGCCACTCCAGCTCAAACATTTTCAAAACTTAAGTCTACATAAAATCCTAAGGACTCTTCTGAGGCTTCTAGTCCTAAGGACTTCCACAGCATTGCCCATCACTACAACTCTTTGAGAGCAAGTGCATTATACATACCCAAGTAATTATTCTTTGGTGTCTTTTCTGACATCTAACCACCATGTTTATTCTTGCCTTTGCTTCCTCTGCAGTGATTCCTAGTGAAGCTGTGCTTCATCCGCACCCACAAAGCCTACCATGAGCCAGGCCCTTTATGAATAAAGGATAAATGTCAGTTCCCTTACCTAGTGGGGACACACACAGTGATTAACATTTATTAGAAACCAACTATGTACCAGTCACTGAGTCATGTTATTTAATCCCCACAGCTCAGTGTGAGAGGGACTGCTATCACTCCTAGTTTACATACAAGTAAAGGGCCTTAAAAATGAACCATTTGTAAGATAATAGGATAAATGTTATAATAGTCACATCGGGTAGGAAGGGAGCACAGGTGAAGACACTACCTAAGTCATATTTTAAAATGAGAATAACAATGTGTACCAACAAGGCTGTTGTAAAGATTGCCACACAATAGGGCAACCAAAGAATTTATTTGGATTATCTTGTTTCACCCAACATCCTGATAAAGAAATAACAAGCAATAGGATATTGGAGTATATGAGGAAGCCATTTGGTATAAAACTAATTCAGCCTGAACTTGTTTTTTTCCAAAAGGGCCTGACACAGCCGTTGAGCATGCATTGTATATCTGCTTTAAGTATTTACTATGTCCCAAAGACAAGAACAATGCCCTTAAAGATAAGGATATAACTTCCTCCACATCAGCATTTCCTTAAGGACAAGCATCTTTCCCTAAACTAGGGATTGATTGCTGACCTGCTATGACCACCCACCTCCAGACCACTGACCTGCTGTGTTCATGGAATTGCAGTGCCAGCAAAGCAATCTCGTGACCATTGTAAAAGGGACATTCCAATCATATGTGATGCATTTGGAGTGATCCATTCCTTTGTGAAAGGACTCTCTGGGGCTATATGGTCCTCAGATCTGGCTCATAATAAACTCACCCCAATTTTGATTTATAGATTGGTTATGGATTATTTTTGTTGACAATCCCAACATCCTTCCTGTCTGGTCATTATGAGCACATATATAAAGTGACCTTGTCATGGTAGGGTGCCAGCAGAATGAGAAAGAGGTTGATGGGGTTCAGGGCAGGCTGCCCCAAGATGTGCCACTCTGGTATGTGGATTATTTCAAACTGAAGACAATCAAGGCTCAGAAGACTCTGAAAGAAACTTTGACCCCCCCCCAACTGCCTTAAAGGATTTAAGATAGAAGGCCTATCCCCAGGACAGGCCATCCCTATAGATAACTCTGGGTATGGATAGACTGGGAGGGTCCTTGCTAAGCCCACTCTTATCAAAGTTCTGTTTACCAAAAATTTATGTTTGTAAGGGAAATCTCCATTTGTAAAGGTATCTCCCTCTCTGTACTGGGAAGAAAGGGGGATGACTTCATCTGTAGAAACTTATCAATGGGGAAGGCAAGGCCTTAAATCTGCATAATAACATTACTCTTGTTTACTGTGCTTTTCTGGTAATCTCCCATAACTGACTCCCCCAACATCCTCTTTTATCTTTAGCTGAAGAGGGTATTTAAGAGGAGAACCTCAGCCATTTTGTCGAGTTACCCAGTCTTTCCTGGGTTTCTCTCATGTATGCATATTATAAAGCTTTGTTTGATTTTCTCCTGTTATTCTGTCTCATGTCAATTTAATTCATACCTCAGCCAGAAAGGACCCAGAGTGGGTAGAGGATAGTCTTACTCCCCTTCAGGGTCAAAGAAAAGCCTCTCAAGGCCAAAGAAATGAAGCTACATGCAAAAAGATCCTGGACTAGAGAACCAAGAACCCAAAGTCACCCCAACACTGAGTCAAAGAAGGGGTCAGGCTTGGGAAGCCAGAACTCCATGCCTCAAGTTCCAGGAAGGCAGGCTGCAGCAGGAACTCTCTAGCTCCTAATAGTATAAGGCAATCTAGATTAGTACTAATTAGTACAGACAGTCATAGAAATAGAAATAATCTAGTTGGAGCCTCTCATGTTACAGATGATGAAACTGAGTCCTAGAAAGAGAAAAGAATGTGCCTAAAATCTCACAGAAAGTCTTGGGGTAGAGCAGAAAAAACCCAAATAATTCAGTTCCAAGTCCAATGTTCATTTTTGCATGAAGAAAGACAGACTTGTGGAATAAAGAATGTCCAGAAACAGACAAGTACACAGGGAAATTTAGTAAATGACAAGGGTGGCATCTGAAATCACTGAGGCAAAGATGTACTTTTTAATAAACAGTGTTGTAACAGCTGGGTAGCCATTTGCGATGTAGGGGAGGAAGACAATTCCTCTATCCTCTAGGTCTTTCTGGCTGGCCTAAGAAGTAAATTGACGTGAGACAGAATAACAGGAGAAAATCAGAGCTTTATAACATGTATACATGGGAGAAACTCAGGAAAGCTGAGTAACTCACCAGAATGGCCAAAGCCGCCCTTAAATACCATTTTCAGCTAAAGACAAAGGAGGATGTTGGGGGTAGTGGCTTGGGGCTTCAAAGGGGAGGAAGGCAATTCACATGGAGATGGAAAAGCAAATGTTTAGTAAAGAAGTGTTTGCTGGGCCAGCTAGAGACAATGTTATCTTATGGTATTAGCTCCTTCCTGGAACAGGCCTTCTATCTTAAATTCTTTTAGGCAGTTAGGGGGAAGGTCAAAGTTTCTTTCAGAATCTTCTTCTTAAAAATAATCAAGCCAATGAGACACCTTTTGAGGTGGCCAATTATGATCCCTCACAGGGAAAAAATAAAATTAGATTAATATCACAAACTATATACAAGAATAAATTCCAAATGGATTAGGAAAATAAATGTAAAAAAAGTAAATCATATAAGTACGAGAAGAAAATATGGGGTAATTCCCCCTTTAATTGTGGTGTAAGGAAAGACATTCTATGACTTATCCAGGGACAATAAAAGAAAAGGCTGATACATTTGCCTATTTATAAAAAACAACAACATAACTCTTACAAAAATGACACCAGAACAAATTCAAACTGTTAAGAAGCTGGGAAAAAATATTAGCGAAATTGTACCAAAGAAATAGACTAAACGTCATACTGAAAAATGGGCAAAAGACAATTAACAAATAAAAAGACATAAGAATTTCCTGTAAACATGTGAAAATGTGTTAAACCTCACAAAAACTAATAAATTTCAAAATAAAACTACTCTGTGGGGAAAGCAGTAGGAAGAAAGCAGGCCTATCTGAGAGCTGAGGGAGGGGGATGGGGATGGGGGCAGGGAAAGGACAGTGGACAGAGGGTAGAGCAGAGCAGGATGAGCGTGGAGCAAGCGCCAGGGAAAAGGATTAAAGAGCAGAGAAGAGAAGAAGAATGACATAATTAAAAGAGGGGGCAAGGCCAGAGCACAATGAGCAGGAATGGAAATGTGGGACACGGAGCAGTACAGGATAGAGGAAAGGGGGCAAGTTAGGAAAACTGGAGGTAGGGCACACTCTCCACTCTGAACACACTCAGGAACCTGCTCAGGGAGGGGAACGTGGCTGGAATAGGGAGGAAACTGGGCCTGGTCAGAGAACTCGGGAGAGGGAGGCAGATGGATTGGAGAGAGAGGCCGGGCTAGAGGACTGGGGGCAGAGGGAGGCTGGAGGATTGTGGAGAGGAGCAGGGATGGGATACTGAGAGAGGGGTCTGGCTGGAGGAGAAGGGAAAGCAGGCAGGGCTGCAGAACTGTTGATAGGGCAGGGAATAGAGGACTGGAGAGAGGAGAGGGGTTGAAGGGCTGGCGAGATGGATGATGTTGGAAGAGTGAAGAAATTGGGTAGGGCAGCAGGACTAGGAGGTGGAGGAGATGAGGACTGGAGACAGTGGTGAGGCTTGAGGACTTGGAATAGGGGTGGTGGTGGAGGACAGTTGGAGCTGTTCATGATTTGGAAGTGCTGATATTCTAAAGATGTCTTTATGTCTATCTTCTCCAAACTTAACTATAGATTCAATGTAGTCCCAAGCAGCGTTCTCACAGGCCTTTTTTTTTCCATAGAAATTGATCAGCTAATTGTAATATTTTTCATGGAATTCAAAGAGAACCTGAATACCTGAAACAATCTTGAAAAATATGAATAAACATGGAAGACAAAAACTACCTGATTTTGAGAACTACAGAAAACTATGGTAATCAAGACAGTGTGTTATTGGACTAGGGATAGAGGTTTGGATCAATGGAACAAAACGAAGTAAAAAATAGCCCCTTAAATATGTTGCCAATTGATTTTTGAGAAATGTACCAAGGCAACTCAAGGAGAAAGGAATTTCTTTTCACAGTGTTGCAGGAACAACTGGATAACTATATGGGAAAAGTAAATCTCTACCCTTACCTGTCACCAAACATAAAAATGTATTTAGATGGATCATAGATATAAACATAAAAGCTAAAACTAAAGAGCTTCTAGAAGAGAACCGAGGATATCTTCATGATGTTGGGATAATCAAATATTTCTGAAGACACAAAAAGCACTAATCATAAAAGAAAAACTTGATAAATTGGACTTCAAAATTAGAAAACACCTGCTCATCATATGATACCATTAAGAACGTGAAAAGGCAAGCCATAGACTGGGAGAAATTATAATATATCTATCATAGAATTAATATTCAGAATATATAAAGAGCTACAAATCAATAATCACAAAGAAAAACAGGGGCTGGCCTGGTGGCATAGTGATTAAGTCTGCGCACTCCACTTCGGTGGCCCAGGTTCATGGGTTCGGATCCTGGGGGCAGACCTGCACACTGCTAATCAAGCCATGCTGAGGTGGTGTCCCATATACAAAATAGAGGAAGATGGGCACAGATGTTAGTTAGGGCCAATCTTCCTCAAGCAAAAAGGGAAAGATTGGCAATAGATGTTAGCTCAGGGCCAATCTTCCTCACCAGAAAAAACCAAAGAAAAACATCAAAATGGACAAAATAGTTGGATGCTTCACAAAACAAAAGATATTGGAATGGCCAATAAGTATATAAAATGTTGCTTAGTCATCAGGGAAATGTAAATTAAACCACAATGTTATATTACTACAAACCCTCTAGAATGGCCAAAATTTAAAACATTGACAGCAGTAATTGTTGGCCACAATTTGGAGCACCTGGAATTCTCATATATTTTCGGTGGGATAAAGTGGTACAGTCATTTTTGTAAAACTTTTGGCAGTTTTAATTTTAGACAAACACCTACTCTATGATCTAGCCATTCTACTCCTAGGTATTTACCCAAGAGATATAACCACATTTGTCCACAAAAAGTCTCATACAAGAATGTTTATGGGTACATCATAAATGTCTCTGGGTACATAGAGCTTGTATGGGTACATCAATTTAAAGTTTAGTTTTAAAATAATGAGTATGAAGAAATATATTTTCAGATAAACAAAAACTGAGTTTTGGGGCCGGCCCAGTGGTGTAGCGGTGAAGTTTGCGTGCTCTGCTTCAGTGGCTCGGGGTTTGCCAGTTTGGATCCTGGGAGCGGACCTACGCACGGCTCATCAAGCTGAGGCCGCGTCCCACATACAGCAACTAGAAGGATGTACAACTATGACATACAACTATCTTCTGGGGCGTTGGAGAGAAAAAGGAAAAAAGGAGGAAGACAGGGCCAATCTTCCTCAAAACAAAACAAACAAACTGAGTTTATCACCAGCATAACTACACTAAATGAACTTCTAAAAGATGTACTTCAGGAAGAGGGAAATGATTCCAACACAACAAGGGATGGTGAATAAAGAATTTGTAAACATGTAGCTAAACCTAAAATGAAAATGTTTCTGTAAATACTAATACTTTTAATTTGTGGGGCTAACAAAATGTGACAGGGCTAAAATATTGGGCCACCACAGTATGTATGTTGGAAAGGAATGCCCTTGTCGTTGAAAAGTGTTCTAAGGTCCTTGTGTTATTTGGGAGCAAAGATTAAGATATTACCTGTAGTTTTTGATGATTTTGCAGGGTAAAATTTCAAGGATAACCATTAAAACCAGACAAATAGAGTGCATCACCACCAAAACATTGAATTGAAGAATCTCAAAAGAGTATTGAATGCCCAAATGAATGTTTATTTTACTTGGAAGATGTGGATGATACAGTTCAGGCTGTAGAGAGATCATAATTTTTTTCACTTTTGAATCTGAATCTTTTTGCTGTGGTACTTCTACATGGATTGTGTCTGCGTGAAAGAAAGAGATATGTGAATCTTTCATCATTTCTACATATTTTTCTTTGTGGTTATAAAATAAATTACAAATATTTTTACACAAAACTCTGGTCAATCTTCTCATTATCTAATCCTCGAAGCTTTGTCAGGCCTCTTAAAACAAACATTCAGGAACCAGGGAGCCCCATACATTGGCTGAAGGAAGGAAGAAACCCTGTAAAAACTTCTAGAAAACAATACTGAGGCAATAAACACCTGGATCATGACACTCTCCCATATGCTTCAGCTGCACTCATCCATGTTATCACCACCTGCTTCTATGTTCATGCTCAAGCTGTTTTCTCTGCCTGTAATGCCAAACTTCTATCATGTATACATCTACTAGTTGAAATCCTCCTTATCATTTGATACTCATTGCCCTGAAACCTTCCATCCCTGAGTTGGTCATTCTTTCCTTTGACCTGCCATGGTACTTTGTGCTTTCCTATCTGTTTATATGTTTGTCTGGAATATCATTTCCCCACTCCATTGACTGGCTATTTTTAAATCTTAGCATTCAACTTAGGTATCACTTCTCTGGGGAGTTGTCCCTGAAATCTCCAGACTGAGTTATCTACCTCTCCAGCACTGATCACAATTGAGTTTGTTGAATGAATGAATAAAAGGATTGCTGAATAGGTATCAGAACCCAGTTGAGGTTTAACAACACAAGTTTGTAGAGGACTGGTCTGCATGGTTCTGTGTCTTTTTACAATGCTGAAAATGTTAGATTTAGTTTTTCTTCTATGAGAGACCAAGAGCGCACAAAAGATATATATACTGTAAAACTCTATTCTAACACTGGTCTTGCCTCCAGTGACTGCACATCTCTACCAAGGCCCTAAGCAACAACAGCTCAAACATACCTTATTTCTTGTGGATGGAGTGGAAGGATTGCTGGTCCTTAAGTCTGGCTGGGTGTAAATCATGGGTTGAGGTGCTATTAGGGAAGGACCTCCCATTGGAGTTGGAACCTATGAATTCAAATGGAAAAGAAAACAAAAAGTGAAAACCTAATTAGTATTTAATTGCTGTCCCAATACAATAGCACCAATAGGGCAAGTAGCCCCTCTAGAGTAAATACTACATTTAATGAATGTCAACTAAAAGGAATGCTAAATGCCAAATACAAAAAAAAAGAGAGAAAACCAGATCTGTGAAGGAGCTGCTAATGATAAAGTATGAAAGGGAAAGACCTAAAGAATACTTCTTGAAAAGAAGGGATGAATTAACTGCCATTAAGGCCCACAAAGGACTCTCTATGAGACAAAGAACTCCTATATCTCAAGGCCAATAGTCCTCATGGGAAAGAGAAGGCAAGTCTGTAGGCAGACATGGAACATATTAAATATATAATGGTATGTGTGTATCTTTGATGAAATATGTTAGTAAAAGTATGTGATTTGATATGACCATTTAAAGGCTAAATGTGAACGATGTGTGGGAATTTTCCTGGTGAAATGAATGAGGAAAGGGCAGGCACACCAGGTCAAGGGGGTGAGTGGAGCTAGACAGGCATTCAGGCCTGAGAATTGATGCCCCATCAATTCTTGCTTTGACATCTCTCTAGTTTGTATTATCTTTCCAGTGACCCAAGGAGCTCAGATTTTTTTCCCGCTTTATTGAGGTATAATTGGCAAATAAAATTGTATATATTTAAAATGTACAACACGATGACTTGGCATATGTATATACATTTTAAAATATATTCAAAAGATAAAGAGGGACATTTAATGAAGGACAAATATAATGAGGCGGCACAGACCCATTAAGATAAGACTCTGACCATCTCCCTCCCCTGTTTAAAACCCTTAAATGGATCCTCACTGACTGTAGATAGTGTGTAAACTCCTTGGCATGTCTTACCAAGCCTACTGTTCCTCTATCTTTATCTACTGCCCTTTTCCCTCACAAGTTGAGGCAATATGAGCTACACTTGAGGACAACTGGGTAAATTAGAAACTGTTCACGTGTCTCATATGTAAAAGTTAATGATTAATGTGTTGACCTGCCGAGAGGTTTCTGGTGATATGCTGCAGGACTATCTCCCTGGTCTTCTAGGTTATCTTTATCCAAATTATCAATGAAAATGTAGACGACATACTCACTGAACATGTGAGTAACATACATATTAGAAGGTTAATGAATATATTAAATAGAATCAGAAACATTAATGTTCTTGACAGGCTAGAGATAGAGTCCCAATTGAATAAGATGAAGTTTAACAGAGATAACTATTAGGTTTTGTGCTTGGACCCTAAAAAATACCCCCATGGGGAAGAAGTGAATGGAGGAGAAGTGAAAAAGACTAATAGAATTTTAGTTGATAGTAAGGTTAAGTTTTAAGGTTAGGGGCCAGCCTGCTGGCGTAGCGGTTAAGTTCGTGTGTTCTGCTTTGGCGGCCCGGGATTCCCCGGTTCGGATCCTGGATATGGACCTACTCACCACTCATCAAGCCATGTTGATGCACTGTCCCACATAGAAGAGCTACAACTCTACAACTATGATACACAACTATGTACTGGGGCTTTGGGGAGAAAAAAGAAAAAAGAGGAAGCTTGGCAACAGATGTTAGCACAGGGCCAATCTTCCTCAAAAAAAAATTAAAAACAAAAAAGTTTTAAAGTTAAGTTTTCCTGTCCTTCCTCCTGTCTTAACCCCATGCCAGCAATTTAGAAGCAGCTCCCAGCTATTTTCAGACTACAGGGCTGCCACCTCTGCAGGACTAAACAAAGGGCCTGAGGACGATACCAAGACTTTTTGCCTTACAAACCAGCGCTGCTGAGAAATCGTCAAAGGTACTCTTGCCCAAGGATGGAGACCTTGGTGCATTTCCATGATGCTATCAGATATTGCACCCTGGAATAGCTCCACGCGGTGACTAGATGGAGCACCTTGTCCTTTTGGGGAACCTAGTGTATATGCCTCCTTCAATCCACCTGGGTCTGTAGTTACTCGTGCCTGAAGAGTGGGACCCCCGTTCCATAGTCCCGCCAATGCTGGGGCCTACTTTGTGTCTGGTTCCTGTCAGCGTGCTAGGAAATGGACCCTATTCTGTTCACTTTTATTTGGAAAGAATCTGTGACATAATCTGGCTCTTTATGTGGCTTTTCCATTTTTACTCTGCAATCCACACATTTTGCCTCAAGCCCTGTTATACTAACAATAGATGCTCTTTGGTTACTGTTGCCTAACCCAGAATCTACCACACTCCTTTTGGGACTTGGACCCTGACTGCCCATCCTTTCCTGTGCAATATCTCAGCTCTACTCCTATTCCCTTATATTCCTATTAAGTCTACTTTCTCCAGGCTTGGGTTGACACTTACTTCTAGCATACAGGCACACCTAGCATCACATAATACTCTAATCCTCTTTTGGGGATTAACTGGCAAATATAGTTTATTATTATAGAGGTTGCACAGAGAAGTTCAAAAAGAAGACTGAAAAGAGGTGTGAGGTAGGAGGAAAACTAGGAGAGTATGGTGTTTCCAAATCTAAGAGGAAAGAGTGTTTCAAGAAACATTCTTCTTCCCTTACTGGCCACTCCTTTTCTACCTCCTTTGCAACTTCCTCCTCATCTCCCTGCCCCATTAATGACAGGTATTCCCAGGGCTCACTCCTTGGACCTGTGCTCCTGTCTACACTCACCCCTAGGTGATCTCATCTACTCTCTCATCACACTCTTCAGGGCCTTTGCACTGACCATGCCCTCTCCCTGGAATGATCTTCCACATGGCCTGTTCCCCCTCCTCTTTCAGTTTTCTGCTCAAGACTGAGTCACATTCTCAGTAAAGAGTTCACTGACCAGCCTATTTAAAATGGAAACCTACCTCAAAACACTTAATTATTCTTCCCTGCTTTAATTTTCTCCATAGCACTCGTCACCTTATTTACTTTTTTGTTTATGTTCCCCCCCCCTTTAGAATGTATGTCCCACAAGGGCATGGAGTTTTGTGGGGGGGTTTTATTATTGCTATATTCCCTGCTCCTAAAACAGTACCTGGAACATACTAGAGGCTTAATGAATATGTGCTTACTGAGTGATAGGAGAGAAGGGTTGAGTAAGATAAGGACAGAGAAGTAACTATTAGATTCTGTCACATGAAGGTCATTGGAGACTTTCATGTGAGCAATTTAAGTAGAATAGTGGGGACAGAAGCTACATTAATAGTATGCTGCTATTTATATGGGGTAGTCAAGAAAGGACTCATTTGGTCAGATCCCTGAAGTAAGTAAGGTGGTAAGCAAAACAGGTACCTAGGAAAAGAGTACTACAAGCACAGGGCACAGCAAGTGCAAAGGCCCTGAGCTGGGAGGGTGCCTGGTATGCTCAAAGAACAGCAAGGAAGCCCTGTGCCCAGAATGAACTAAGCAAGGAAAGAGTGCCAGGAGATGAAGGCAGAGAGGTAGCATGGAGAACCCTGGCTTTTACTCTGAGAGAATTGGGGGACAGTTGTAGCAGAGTGGCTTAATCTAACTTACACTGTAAGCCAATCACTCTGGCTGCAGTATGGAGAAGACTGTAGGGCACGAGGGCAGAATCAGGGAGACCAGGTAGGAGACTACTGCAGTGATCCAAGTGAGAGATGATGGTGACTTAGAAAAATTGAGGATGCATTCTGAAAATAAAGCCCATAGTATTTGCTCATGAATTGGATATGGAGCGAAAGAAAGAGAGGCGTCAAGGAGGACTCCAAGGTTTTTGGCCTGAGCAACCGGAAAGACAGAGTTGCCATCAGCCGTGATTGGGAAGGCTATGGGTAGAAGAGCTTTGGAGAGATCAAGAGTTCAGTTTTGGACATGTGAAGTTTGAGATGCCTATTATATATCTAAATGAAGATGTCAATTAGGCAGTTGGATATATAAATCTGGGTAACAGGGAAGAGCCGTAGGCTGGCGATACAAGTTTGGGAGTCAGTATATAAATGTACATTTAAAGCCATGACTTGGATGGAATCACCAAGGGAGTGAGTGTTGATAGAGAAGGTGCTCAAATATTGATTCTCTGGCACTCCAATATTTAGTGGTGGGAAAGAGAAGACTGAGAAGAAACAACCAGTTGAGACCATGGTGTCCTGGAAGTTAAGTGAAAAAAGCAATTCAAGGAGGAGAGAGTGGTCAATTGTATCAAATGCCACTGATAAGACACGATGTGGACTGAGGAGTGACCGCTGGACATGGTAATATGGAGGTCACTCATGACTGAGATAAGAACAACAGTGGCAGGCAGAATCTTTACTAGAAGAGGTTCAAGAGAGAATGAGAGGAAAAGAAGTAGTGACATAGCATATAGAGAACTCTTTTGAGGAATTTTTCAATAAAGGGATAAAATACACTACTAAATGGTAGTATATACATATGTGGAATACCATTGAGCCATTATAATTAATATGTAGCAATCTAGATAGATCTCAAAAACATAAGTACAGAATGATGCCAATTATAATTAATTTTTTAAAATAATGTAGAATAGTACTACATATTTTTCCATAGTAAAAGTATGGAAATGTTCTGGAAGGCCATACATAAAATTCATCATAGTCATTGTCTCCAGAGAAGTGGAGGGTGATTGGGACCAGCGGTGTGCCAGGGAGACTTTGGCTTTATTCGTAAAATTTCATTTAAATAAGATCTGAAAAAATTATGACAAAATGTTAACATTTAGTAATTCAGGATATCGAAGCACAGATGTTTGTTATCCTCTGTATTTTCCTGTATTTTTAACATTTTTCCTAATTGACACCAACAGTAAAAACATGAGTGAATTAGGGGTGAGGCTGTGTGGACTGAATGAGTTAAGTTTCCATTACCTGAATTACATCACATGAAATTTATGCAACGCACTGAAACTATAAAAAGGAGAACTTGTGATTGCAAACAATTTTTAACTAAGTAAAGAAAAACTTTAAATAATGAAAACATTGCCAAATAGGCAGAACAGAAAATAACAAACTGAGTTAGTAAATGTTGGATAAAAAGCCTGAAATCAGAAAAATTCCAGATATTCTACCTGTATTAACAATTTCTCCCATTAGAAGTCTTGAACAATAAGAACAAATTCAGCATTATTAAATTCCACTTATTTTTTTACCTGCTTAATGCTGGGTGGAAGTGATCCCAAACAGCAAAATGGGAAATAAAACAAAACAAAATGAAACAACAACAAAATCCTTGCAGAAACAGAGGAAAACCAGCAGCAAACAGTAGCTCATAACTCTTGGAATAAACCAAGAATGTAAACTAAACTAAATTATACTTGAATCTCTATTATGTGCATATTGATTATTCCTATTTTGGATTATCTATTAATTCTGGAACAGCTTTCTCTTAACTATTCCACCTCCACACATCCCTTCTCCTCCTCATTTCTAGTGCTCGTTTCTGTATTCCCTTTAGCTATCTCACGAAGCTTTTGCTGTATTATTTGTCAGAGGAAAAGGATATGGATGGATTTCCTTCCATTTTAAATTATCTATATATCATGTTTTTTTCTTTTAGTGCAAACGATGGGGAGTTTTAACTATATCTCCCACTCTTGATATCTTAAAAGGGTTTTTTCTTACCATTCTATACATAGGCACTTGCTGTGAAGTCACTGGATAGGCCACTGGAGGTGGTACCTTGAAGAAAAGTGTGGCACATTTTCTACTAGTATTTAATAGGAAATATCATAAGATACAGAAAACATTCTGCTATAGGTTTAATATTGAGAACAAATATAGTGAACCATTTACAGTCAGGACAATGATCTTTCCTTGAACATGACAGATTTAGGAGGTTTAAGGACTTCCAATTATTGGCATGTTGTTTTGGAAGCCATAGCAGAGTTCACAGCAGCTCAACTTCCCTGAGTCCTAGGAATTTGCATGGATAATATTCCACACCCAAGAGAAATATGAAGTTAGCTAAGAAAGAAAGAGTTATCACTCTTCTTTTTATACTGCATAAATAAAATAATAGCACTAATAGACAAAATGAAAGAAAGAAAAATTCAACCACAATCTCACTAGCTCCAACAAATAAAAGTTTCTTAATTTTTCAATGTTCACTTCCAGTCTCTGGTCCTGACATCTTTCCGATGTGTGAGATAATGTGAAAAATGAAGATAATTTGGCTTTCATCACAACAGATGAAAAGCAGAGTAATATGTTTAATGCTATCAGCATAATGTCAAATTATGCCTGGCTCTCAACCCTGAATTAGTCTCCTTGCCTATACCAGTCATAACTTTAATCCTTGTCTTGGTTTCTTTGTCTATTACTAGGTGATATAGCATAAGAGACAGTAGTCTTTGACCTTAGACATTTGACTCCAGAGTACTAGTGATTGGCCAGAAGGCCTTGAACAAAGAGGCAGAAGTAAATCTTTAATATCAATCTTCCTGATCTTTCCCAAAGTATTCTTAAACCTGGGCTCCTAATTCTGCTATAAAAAGTTTCTTCATTCTTGATATATATCATCTGAGCCAAAATTTGTCCCATGAATAATTTTTATTCTTGCTGCTTGTGCCCTATTACCAGGCACTTACCATTAAGCCTTGCTACTCAAAATCTGATCCATGTACCAGAGGCATCAACATCAGCTGGGAGCTTGCCAGAAATGCATAATCTCAATCCCCATCCCAGACCCACTGCATTTTAACAAGACCCCCAGGTGAGTGACAGGCACATCAAAGCTCAAGAATAAGAAAGTGTAGCAACAGTCTAGAAAATTCTGTCAAGGGAGAAGTATGCCCAGTATGTTCACAATTCCCCCAGAGCATCTTCATTGTTGTTAGGGGGAATGCTTATTCTCCTTGCCTTCCTATTTTCATATCCCTCTCTGAGGGCTGAGGGTATTTAATTTAATGGTCTATGTTTCACATACTAGTGGGTGGGAGTACTGTGCCACAAAATCACTATCATCATTATCATCATCATCACCATCACCATATTGCTAGCTAATATTTATCGAGCACTTACTGTGACCTAGGCAGTTTTCTAAGCAGTTTACATGTATTACCTCATTTAATCCTCATAACGACCCTATAAGGTAGGTGCTATCTTTAGCCCCATTTTGCAAGTGAGAAAACTGAGGCATGGAGAGGTTCTGTACTTTGTATAAGGTCACACAGATAGTAAACAGGCTCCACTAGGTTTCAAATTTTAGGCAGTCTGGCCCCAGAGCCACACTCTTAACTTCTATGCTATAGTATGACAAATTCTTCCTGGTCTGTTGAAGGCTTGCCAGCAAGTGGCATGCATTACTACTACTTTCTTCTTCCTAAGAAGTAAGCTCATCTGGACAGGTCTTCCTGTCCCTTCGAAGTCTCCACTATGAACAAGAACGATTTGGTGATCAGTTCAATTTCAAGTGGGAAGTAGAAGGCCTTGTCATCTTCTCTAATCTAGCTTTACTATGGAGTTCTGTACTTTAAGTAATAAAACTCGATCTGAATTTTAATTCCCACCTGGCTCCTACATGTACTTCTTAAATTTCACAGGAACTGTGATTAATTAAAAATTCTCTAAAACACTAATACTTTCTTGAAAAGAAATGCCACAAAGAGAAGAAAATGTGGGCAATACAAATAACTGACAAAGGAATAGTATTCAGGATTTGTGTATACCTCATAAATCACTAAGAAAAAGACAAATAACCAAACAAAAAATAGGTAAAAACTTGAACAGACATTTCACAAAAAAGGAAATTAATGGTTAATAAATATATCAAAAGATGCTCAACCAGATTATGAATTAGACACACACCAAAAAGAAAACATACCATGATAACATTAGATACCTGCAAGAATGGCACATTTTAAATTATAATATTTATATTTTAGTTTTAGGTAAATATTTGTATTTAAATATTAGTGGATAATTAACATTACTATTATTTTATGTAAATAAAATAATTAAAATAACATCAAGTGTTGATGACACTGATAACACTCTCATACCACTGGTGGGAGTATACACTGTTATAGCACTTTTGGAAAACAGTTTAAAATTACCTAGTAAACCTAAACCCTATGGCCAAGCAATTCCACTCCTAGGTAGATCCCCTAGACAAACTCTTGAATCTGTACCAAGAGATAGTCAAAAGAACATACGTAGCAATCTTGTTCATAAGAGCAAACACCTTGAAACAACATAAGTACATCTCCAACATAAATATTCATACAATGAAATATTATACAGTAGTAAGGATGAAGGAATTACACCTGCAAACATTAACATAAATGAATCTTACCAACATGATACTGATTGAAAGAAGCAGGTCAAAAGAGAATATGTACAGTATGATTCCATTTATATAAATTTAAAAATTGGCAAAACCAACAACACAAAAGAAGACTGGAGTGAGCATATAAAAGTGAATTTAAAACAAGCAAACAAAGAAATTGCAGTGAACAGAAGAGAACAGAGTCATATAAAACAATATTGTACTTACGAAAAATGAACAGGATATTATAAAAAAAGAGCAGATAATGAGAACATATTCTTGGAAATTAAAAGCATAACTCACAAAACAGAAACTTTAACAGAAGAGTTGAATAATAGGAGGACTTGGTTGAAGATGGACATATTCACTTTATGAAAATTCATTTGTACACTTTTCTTTTTTTTTTTTTTTT